AGTATGAAGTTCAGTCAAAGCGTCAGGATCAAAATGCTTCAGGATGGGTCCTGAAGTCACTAAAAACTTCAGCTGTTGAAATGCATCCTCACATTTATCATCTCACAAGTATGGTGTGTCTTTATGAAGAAGGGGCGTCAGTGGGGAGGCAAGTTGTGCGAAGTTCTTAATAAATCGGGGGAAATATGAGCAGAGACCCAAAAAACTTCGCAGGTCCTTCACTGTTAGTGGTTGTTCAAATTTGCGAACCACTGCGGTCTTCTGTGGGTCTGGTCATACGCCTTCTTTATCCGCGAGAAAGCCTAATGAGAGACCTTGACGTTCTCCGAAATGGCACTTCTTTCAGTTTAAAACAAGGCCAGCTTCGCGTAAGCATTCAAGCACAGGTGACAAGTGGTGCTTATGCTCTTGAAAAGTCTTTCCGTAGTTAATCACGTCATCTAAAGAGCACATGCAAATTTCCCATTTTAGTCCACAGAGGACTGTATCCATAAATCACTCGAATATCGCTGGAGCATTGCACAAACCAAAGGGCATAACGTCAAACTCATAAAGACTGTCTGGTGTTACGAAGGCCGTCTTCTCTTTATATGAGGGATGTATAGGAATTTGCCGATACCCAGAACGCAAGTCAACAGAAGAAAAATAAGAGGCAGAATGCAGGCAGTCCACGGCGTCATCTATACGTGGCAAAGGGTGGACGTCTTTTTTTTTGTGATGGCATTTATGCGAGGATAGTCTACGCAGAATCTCCATGAATTATCCTTCCTGACAAGAATGACAGGAGCTGCCCACGGACTACACGGTTCTTGTATAGCGCCCTTCTTTATCGTATGCACTTAGCGGTTAAGGGCACACTACGGGCCACATTTCGCTATCGTGTTCAACTCTTAAAAGCCAGTATTAAGGATCCTCATATTTTTTTGTTTCTTACAGAGACAAGCTGGCATCGTTGGCAATCACAGAGTGGTCATGAGTACACTCGACGATTTTAGCTTCGCCCAGTTTTGGCCTCCGAGATCGCACACCGACATGTTGTGTGCAATCTTGGAGACGATAGCCCAGTGCACCCAGCAGCACGCATTACATCGTCTGGCTACAGAGGCGAAGATCGCAGAGCGGTTGATGTCTGCTCCGACAGGTGCCGCCGCCCTACCAGCCGGTCTTTCTTACTCGCATTCCACACGCAATCAGATCAGCAGCTCGGGTGACGTCACGCTTCTAGTGGATGTCGTACTATGGATGAGCGATTGAAAACGCGTTTGGCTGCGCCGCAGCGACCCGCAACGATTTGCAGCTTCAAAGCGTTTATCAATCACACACTTCACGCAGATAGCTTAGATCAGTCTGTAGATGACACTTAGGACTTTGGTTACCGGCCAAATGCGTTTGTACAAAATCGTCAAAACATTTTCCGGGTCCTTTATAAGTATATTCCTGCTCATAAACTCGGCAACGGGGTCCGAAGGCGGGGCTTCCAGGCGTCCGGCTCCTGACCGGATGGCTGCATCCGGAGTGTGCATTCGTTGGTGCAGGCTTGGGCGCATCCGCCTTGAAAAAAGAAGTGCAGTGCCCTTTTGAAGCTGTGCCCGACTGTAGTGATCAGTAACTAAATTGGAGCGAGAGTCTGGATAGCTTCGGAGCTGCTCTTTCAAAATGCGGTCTTTGTTCAGTCGACCAGCTTTGTGGTCGTTTCTCGAAATGTGAGAGAGAAGTTTCGTAAACACCCGTCTATGCGGGACTTTGATTTCGGCTAGTTGGTACATTCCTAACTGGGAAAAAAACAGCGCAAAAAGGCGGTGACACAGAAACACAGTAAACATGTGAGCGCTAAACTTTGTTGATGCTGCATGCGGCTTTTGACGATGCAGAGTAATGGCTGAGCACTTTGCGGTTAGTGGGAAGCATTAAACGACAGGGTCGTTTAGCACTTGTCGTTGTGCAATGACTGGTTGGTGTTTTACTCTGATGCCCCGCAATGTTACATAGGTTAACGTAATTTCTCGCCTGCCACGACGTTTGTGTTAGGCGATTGTGCAAGTGACTTTCTTATGGAAGGCTTTGTGGTCGAATACTCGACAGCCACGCACAAGGCCTGCGTTCGAACCCCTCAATCCTTGGTATGTTTTAAAGAAAATAGTCCTTCTTGCAATAATTTACCGCAAAAATTTTAGTCTGTTAACTTTGTCCATCTGTTTGCCACACAATGCGGCCACTTAGCCAAAGTTTAAGCACTTGCTGAACGCCTAGCCATCTTCAACTGGTGGTTTCGTTTAAACTTGTGTATATTGTCGAAGGAAAGGCATATGTTAAACGTATCTGAGACGCAACATCAGTACGTTAGTATTAAGTGTTGTGCTTCTTTACTAGAAAATAGGCAGACAATGAATTGTAAAGAGGTTAGTGTTTCGTAGACGACGCTGATAATGTGACGCTAAGCACTAAAAAAGCCATCTGCCAACGATATGGTGCCACCGCTTGTAAGTGGCCGTGGGTTCTGCACCAGCCTACGTTTTCCGACACCACTGCGAGATGGCATCCTTACCTCATGCAGAGTCTTCTCTATTTTGTCAATGTGAGCCGGATACGAATCATTCAACATAAAGTAGGTGCTGTTCCAACCAAAGCACCAAATAAATGGCCGTGGATGAGACCATGACTGATGTAGTAAAGCCGGCATTAGACTATCGTGCTTCGGCGACATTTGCAGCGAATCATGCTGACATGCGGCCACTTTTATTTTTTTTTTGTCTGTCGAGCTATATTCTTTTTTTTATTTTATTCGCGTCTTTTGGTTACGCCACCGACGGCAACGGTGACGCCACTCAACGTAGGAACGGACACGTGAGAGCTGCGTTCTAAAAAATAAAATAAAATAGAGGAAATTTGATAGTGGTCCTCCACGTTAGCATTGGCCCAAGAAGGACGTAATCGGGGTGCATATCCATCTAAACTCAAGAAAGCGAAGCCACACGCTCCTGATTTATGATGGAAAAAATTCCTTTTTTGCAGCCTTTCCAAGAAAATTGCTACGGAGACACGCATCATCCATTAGCCGTCTCGTATTGCACACCTTCCAAGATTTCACGATGCAGCTAGCATGACAGTTTCTCGCCGTCGCACTCCTTAAACGTGTGCTACGGTCTAAAAACGAAGGGCGACACAAAATCTTTAGGATCGTTTATGCATTCAGCTCAGGCGACTTAATGTCGAAAGTAGTCACCTTCTCTTTCGCCCCAGTTGATGTATTTTTGAAGCAGCGCTACAACATGGAGACTAAGAAGATTCAAACACGCTGGAAGAGACCTTACTGATAACATTAAAGAAGAATCATTCAAGGAGAGCACCCAACAACGACAAATTAAGACAAGAAAATAACGCGTGCAAAAGAAAAGATGGAATTTGTAGTCTTTAACACAAGCATTATTTTCCGATCCCACCCGCGGCAGTCGCATTTTGACGGAGAGAATACGAATAAAGGCCTATGAACTGTGTGATTTCAGTGCACGTAAAAAAAAACATCAAATGGCAAAACTTTTCGGAACCCTCCACTGCAGGATCTTTCATAATCACATCGATGTTTTGGGAAGAAACACTCCGCATAATATTCACACAAGTATTACTTCATAGTTTTAGGTAACGTTTGGTTCCCCCAACCCCCCTCAATGCTTAAATTTTCTTTACTGTCATGACCTTTATGCTAACAAATAATACGAGTGCGGATCGGTAACTAATGTGAGTTCGACACCCCTGCTCTGGACGGTATTGCATTGGAGCCTGCAATCTATGATTTCATAGTCTCGACCCGATGACGTTGCGCGTCACTGAACGAACTTTTCTTTTTTTAAAAAAATGTGGCTGATCTGTGTTTTTAGGAATCGGTATAACCTGAAAGTGAAAGGTGCCCTGGCAGAGGTAGTTAAGCTTTTATTCCGCATCATTTCATCACAAGGGCAAAGTAATGAATGCAACAGCAACAAATTGCATTCTTGCACAAAAATTGAGAAGCAGCTCGAAACTTGCAGCGCACACCTCAAGCAGAAATCACCTTCGAAATGAGCATACACAGGACGACCGCGGGCAAATAACTGTTAGAGCACTGTGCCTACACAGAAATACGCACAAAATGAATGCGCAGGTATACAAAGAACGAGCACGAACAACCGTCACATTTTTTATTTATTCGTGTTTCAACCACGCGCTCCTATAAAAACGCGGCCACGGCAGTGAGCGATGGGGCGTTCGTGATCTTCTTAACTAGTGTAACTCCAAAGAAAACTTGTGTTGGAAGCACAAAAGGTACACAGCGCCCAAATCCTGAGATATGCGCTCCAGTGAGTGAACCACCATGCCAGAGAACATTTGTACGCACTTTGTGTGCATTTAACATTTGTACGCGTTTGTGCAGTACCGCGTGGGCCGGAGTGACACGATGACTTTTGGGGCACGCGCCCCCAAGGCGCATCCGTCTTGCCATCTCTCTACTAAGGGAAAAAACACGCCGACGTTTCTGAGCTCTGAGAACCACCAGCGGTACAAGGTGAATATATATGGTTTACCGTTGCGTATTTGAAAGTTTTCTTTTCTTTGCGGCTTAGTGGTTCGCCTCGCGCGCTGAGGAGCGTGAGGTCACTGGTTCGATGCTGCGTTGCTGAACTTTTTCTTGTCGTTTTAAAGGCGAATCTTCTTAAAGCATAGACTTGTCTGCCATTTTCCATAGCAGCCACTCCTAGTACTTACAGTAATCACTAAATGGCGATGCGGCGCTCGCTCTACTATACGTATACGCTGCGTAGGAGAAGTGCGCTTTAGTCTGATAGGAGACGGATGGACAGACGGACGGACGGAGCAAGCTCCTTCACCATTATTCACTTCGTGGATGTGGCATAATAACTTCGCCGACTCGCCATTATTAACTTTTTGTATATGCTGTGATTTTTTCGCGTAATATGCTGCGATTCGTGTATACGCTGAGATCTATAAGAATATACTTCCCGTGCCGCGACAAAAATACGTCAGTGTAGTCGTAATGGACCACATTCAAGCGCTGCGCACTCCTCAACGACGGAATACTTACACTGAATGTCTGCTGCGAGGTTTTGCACTTGAATGTTTGTGTCGACAATCTCCACGCTCTGAGTGTATGGATTGTAGCGCACCGTGAAGGGCCTCGGGATAGACAGAGCGAACTCCCTGCGTAAATGAAAAAAGAGAAGACCCACGGTCATTCGCCATCTTGTCAATAGTCAGCTCGAAAGATATAGTGTAGGGCAACATTACAACGGCGAAACGTTTGGGGCCCCTTAGGTATTATTCTGGCACGCGTCGAAGGAAAATGCTAACCGTGGTGGCTATCTTATGCTACTACTACTACTACTTCTACTATTACAAATCGGTGCTTGAAAAATCACGTGAGTAGTTGCGCTTAGTTGACGATGCGGCTGGTGATGATGACGACGATGATGATACATTACAGGTCGAGCCTTGGTGAATAGTTCACAGCCTTCAACCAGGACCGATCCACTCACTCATTTCAGGGAGTGGGGGCAGTTGCTTGCATCAACACTGAAGAGGGGGAGGACACGGGAGCCTGACTTTTGTTTTTAGTATAGGATGAAAACCCGTTCATAGCAAGAAATACTAATAATATGCGCTAACAGTGGCCCGGTCCATTCGTACTTATTTTGATAGGAGGTAGACATCAAGCGCTGAATAGAGGGCGTGGGGGTGTTGCTGGCATAGGCTCTGGGGCATAGGGCGAGGTGATCACCCCCCCCCCTTTTATTTATCCACCACTGCCTTCCGCCACGCACTCGTTGAGCAGTGCTTGTGGTTGCATCACGCCCGGGGCGGTTCTGCACTTGATTGATTGATATGTGGGGTTTAACGTCCCAAAACCACTATATGATTATGAGAGACGCCGTAGTGGAGGGCTCCGGAAATTTAGACCACCTGGGGTTCTTTAACGTGCACCCAAATCTGAGCACACGGGCCTACAACATTTCCGCCTCCATCGGAAATGCAGCCGCCGCAGCCGGGATCCGAACCCGCGCCCTGCGGGTCAGCAGCCGAGTACCTTAGCCACTAGACCACCGTGACGGGGTGAACTACCATTGTTCGAACCAGCTGTACAACACAGCTGTACTTCGGTCCCGCAATATCACGTCAGCTAACGAGACTCCTTGCCCGAAATGAAGGATCTATATAAACGATGGCAGTTAGAGTACGGATTTGACTTCGTTGTGAAATGTTTGCCTGCCACCTAGAATCCCTATGGTCTGCTCTCGATCAAACCATGATATTCATCTGATTGTTAATAAAGGGACTCTAAACAAAAGAGAATTCATTGTTTCAGATGAAGAAACTGCACTGAGAGAACTCTAACACCGTACGTTTCACTATCATAAGTTTATTTCGAGCGCTGAAAATCGCTTGCGGTTCGTTTCATTCGGTGAAGGTTTCTTTCATCACTTAGGTTTAAGTTTCATTTTTAAAATCATGCGCCCGTAAATCCACGCGTGGCGTCATAAATTTTAAAATGTACTTTTCGAATTTTGGCAGCACTGGCTTGTTGAAATTTTCTGAAACTTCGTATGTTAGTTCCATGACACCCACCGATAACAATTTACTTTGATTTTATGGGTTGGAAGCTACGTTTTCTTGCTTACTAAGCGTTGCCTGGCAGTAATAGTGGCGTTTTTGGGATAGTGAGATTGCACTAAAATTCCTTTCTTTCAACTGATACGCGAGAAGTTGGTTTCCTCTTTACTGCGCATTTACACAACATCAATTGGCCATAACTTTTCCGGGGCCCTCCACTATGGCATCCCACTTAATCGTATACGTGGTTTTAGGACGTCAGTACAAGTATTATTATCACAACGCGAACATGACTTCGGCTAGGAACGAACACATATTCCTCAACTCGCATGCTCATAAGTCCTGCGGGAGTTGGAAAAAACTCAGCATAGCCGGCCGAGTATGCTTTCACGAGTGACATAGTAATATACAATATTTTTCTAGTTGACCTCCCTGCATTTTTCTAACGTGCGCTTTGCCTTCTCTCTTCCTTAATTTTTATAGATGAGTGCCTTTCAGTTCAAACGCCAAGTCTCGTGCCGCTTTATTATTTCGAATTCCCACATGTTCTCTGAGTCCTACTACATGAGCCCATATGGGGCTGTAGGATTCCTTCGTACAGATGAAAAATAATGCCCTCAGTGTTCTGGTTTCTCCAGGTACTATTTGAACAAAAAAATGTTAGAGTGATAGTTCTCGTAACGCGTTGCTGGTGGAGTTGAAGCCGTGGCTAGTCCCTAGTTAGTGGGATAGTCTTGCTTTTTTTTTTCGTTTGCTGCGTGCTTAAATGTAGTGGTTTTGCTCATTTAATGTACACGCTGGGCTGATCCTGCAACAAGAGATCGCTGTTACCGATGAAAGCAACCCATCGCGGTGAATACTGATGAGTTATTCTTCGCTAAAATTTTCCCGCGCTTTGGGGCTTCTCAAGGCAACTTATACCACGTCGAGCAATGTTTAGCCCAAATCCTTAACCATATTAAACTTGTATGACGTTTCAGAAAACATGCTGCTTCTCTTTTTCTTGGTGCATGCTAAGCTTGGTACTTGTAAGATGGCGGACTACTGGCTTCACTTTTGAGTAGAGTGTACTAGAATAGGTTGAGTGGCGCGATCGCCAGGCGCCGCCTACACTTCCTGGCGAAGCCCGAACTGCGGAAAGTTAGCGTGGGGGCGCTGCGATCGAAGCAGCTTGGAAATTTCCTCCGCGTCTGCCGCCGGGCCATTGCAATTTGCAGCGAAGGCGACGGGGACTGCGTGTTCTCATCAAACTGATGACCTCCAGATTCAAGTCCGAGGCTCTTTGGCCGCACTCAAGTGGTAGTTCTGCGCTATCCAGTTTTCTAGACTACATTGACAAGTGGGAGCAGCATGTCGGCAAGGGCGTCGGGTTCCTTAGCAAGCAGACAGCTACTGGCCTGAGGGTTACGCTGTCCAGTGTGCTTTCTTTACTGGACTATGTTACCACAGAACTAAGCTACAGGTATTTGATGACGAGTAACCTAAGCCAAGATCCACTCGAGAACTTGTTTGGAGTTGTGCGGCAGTCGTCGGGCTGTAATGACCATCCGACCCTAGAGCAGTTCTTAATTGCTGTCAACTGTCTGAGCTACTATAGCCTAGCTAAGCCAGTGCACTGTGCGAGCGTTACACCATTGGTGCTTACATCACTGCTCGACACTGGAGATGCACACTCGGCAGATGCAACAAGCCTGCAGCAAACAATTGATGACCCCATCGCTCAAGGAGATCTTGACGTGATAGAAAGCGCTGCCTGCCATGACAGTATTGCTGCCCCAACTGAGCATTACAGCCTTGTGGGAAAAAAAAGTGACTCTCGCCTAGCATATTACATGGCTGGATATGTTGCTAGAAAGTGTGTGCAGAAGTCAGGATGCACTGCTTGTCGTACTTCACTGCTTGTTCCAGCTTCAGAAGGGAAGGAACATGAGTGTTCGGCCTTTACGAACTTTTGCGACAAAGGTGGTTTGTTGTACCCGTCTAAGGAGCTGTTTGACTTCGTTAGCTATTTAGAAGACACATTTACAGACTGCTTCAGATCTAATGAACTGCGCAGTGATAGCATTTTAGATGTGCTGCATCTGGTCAGGGTTGAAGGGAGACCCCTTGGCTGTGCTCAACATGCAAAAGCAGTGAAGTCTCATGTGGTAAAATTTTATGTTGTCACTCGATTGCACTTTTTGGTTAAAGGAATCAATAGAGCTAAGGAAGAACGGCGCAGGAGGCTGCAGCACCTAAAGCTCCGTAGGTGCGTGTAGGATTCCCGTACAGCTGAGTGCTCCACTCGTCCTGTTACATACATGTAACAGTTTTCTTTGTACATAGTATTTACAGTGATTTTTTTGTTCTTTGAAGTTTATCTGTGTACATAGCCAGTGTAACCGTGATACTTATTTGTATATGTGTAAAGCAATAAGTTTTAAGCATCTTTATTTTTATTTTGTTTTCCTTTAAAATGTATCTTTATGCATAGTGTGTGTGACTGATATTTCTTTGTATATAGCAGGCGGTTTTAAACATCTTTATTTTTATTTTGTCGTGTCTGTAAACACATTTAATATGCTGTTGACAGGTGGAAAAAAAATCGCGTTGGTTTATGCCTGGCTTTATCCTTTGGCTAAATTACAGCTGCTTGTTTCTACACAACGAACGATATTTGTATATTTGCTGCTGATCCAATAAAAAGCTAAGGGATGCAGACATCGCTGTTGTCCTTTTAATATGGGTGTAAGAAAAAGCAGTTTTCTATTAGCATCGTTATTTAAAGCATTCCTTCCCGTAGCCGAGGCGTTGTGACAAAAGCACACGTGTAGCTTTTGCTCACGACATTCATTCCAATTTGAACTGCTATTTACAGCTTCGCCTTACTGCGGCCATGTACAATGAGACGGACAGCACGCGGACTTGACAGTTTCTCTCAATTGGTAAAAAGACTAAAAAAAAGTGCCGCCATATGCACGAAGTGAATGATGATGAGTGGGCGAAGCTCTGGAGGAAAACCAGGTAAACCATGAATCTTCCGTACATTTTGCCTACTCGATTTTATTACAATGCTCCCCCTAGCGTACGTCACCGTACTAAATCGAACGATTGCCTTCCCCCAATGACACGTGCCATATGTGACATCATTCCTATTTTATAACATCTCGCATCTTTCATCATCAACTACAAGTACCGCCGTCTAGTTTATAACAGCTTGCATCTTTTCATCATCAGCTACAAGTCCCGCCGTCTAGTGAGCACTGAAAGAACTAAACGAGAGGTGGCTACATGCAGGAGACGGAGCCGCCATCTAGTGAACACTGCAAGAACTAAACGAGAAGAGGCGACATACAGGAGACGGTACCGCCATCTAGTGGACACTGCAAGAACTAAACGAGAGGTGACTACATACAGGTTACAGGGGACGCACAGCCCACGCCCTAAGGAGCTTCGCCCTTAAAAGCGGAATCGCGAAGAACCTACGCAAGGGGCGCATTCGCGCGTCACCGTAGCAGACGCTCAGAGCCGCGAAACCAGTGCAGCAACATTTAGGGGCAATATTATGAGGCGAAAGCCTGATTATCGTGTGGAAACACCATTTTTAATGCTACCCTGACAGTCTATAGCCGTACACCGGTAAGAAACTGGCCGTCGCACGTGTCGCCAAAGGCGCAGAAGCCCGGCAATGCACGACCACGCGTCCGATGCGCCACCAAGCCGGATTGCTCGTAGCGCCATCTATCGTAACCGCGTACGGAGCTTCAGGAAAACAGCGGCGGTCGCGCCACTCGACCTATTCTAGTACACTCTACTTTTGAGGCAGAACTTCCAATGCAGCTTTTTTTTTATTTTTTAGCTCTCAATATATTTCTCGCTAATCCGTGCCGCTACCGTCAACTTCACAAAGAGCGAAACGCAAAGAAAGCTTCCCTGCGTTCGAAGCTCTTTTTTCACTGACCTCATTTTCTTCTGGGCGTTCTGAAAGCTTTCGGCGACGAAGTAGATGGGCTGGTACTCGGTAATCGGATACTTCTGCTCACCAGTGACGGCTGGCTCGAAAGGCTTCATCTCCGGCTTCCCGCTCAGGCAGTACTATAAAAAATTAAAAGATCACATGCATGCGCGAAACCACGAAAATGTAAACTCCGAAGCTGTAGTATTGAAAATGTTGTAATTCTATTTGGATGGAACTGCACAGAAGCAGCCCAGAAACACAATGACAGCACATTAACTGTACGTACAAATAGAGGACACGAAATGTAGATGCACAGGCCTGCGTCGGTTTCGTAACACCACCAAAGGGTACCGTTAAGCACAGGGCCTCATCAAGTATGAGGCACAAGGCACGGCTTTGTGCTCTCCCATAGTAGAGTACCGAGTACTCAAAATCGTTAACCACTTCTACTAAACACAAAGACATACAAGCGGCGAATACACGTGTCTGTGATGACTTATAGGCAGTAAGGAGGTGCATGGAATAAATTGAGAAGACAACTCATTTCTGACGCAAAACACGGGATCATTATCGCACCGACGAGAATTCAAGCACGACAAAAGGAAAACTTTCAAGAAGTTCGAGTTGAAAAAAGATGAAAAACTCTTCGTGCACACCATTTTTGCTACTCTGCAGTATGAAGAAATTCGAGCGAGCCGGTGTAAATTTCTTTTGCAATGAGCAAATACAACAGAATGAAGGAAGAAGGACTAAAGTCATCCGTTTTTTCTTATACTGTTTAGGGCTTATCTATATATATATATATATATATATATATATATATATATATATATATATATATATATATATATATATATTATATATATATATATATATATATATATATATATATATATATGTACCTAAACTCATGTTCCATTGCAGAACTGCAATCATGCTACGAATAAGTCGCACTCAAGCTAGGTAATACTCGTACGCGTATACACACAGAAGCACACATTCAAAAAAAAAAACCCGAATGCCGCTTGACTTCTGCGAAACCTGGCGAAGTGCATAGTATCGTCACGCAGCAATTCCTGTTCGTAGAGTTGCCACTTCTTCGGTTACCAAACCATCTATGAGGCCAATGTTTGAAGTAAGCGTGTAGCGTTTCTCTGGCTCAAGCAGATTCCGGCTGAGGAGATTTGAAAAGTCGGCGCGCGACATATGCGCTACTTTTGCTACACTTTATCGACTTCGCGCGCTTGTTATGACAGTTCGGATACCTGTCGTCAGCAGCGAGTTCAGTCAGGTTGTTTCCCTTTCAGATGTAGCGGCCAACCACCGGCGAAGTGCAAGTGGGAGGAGCAATAGTGTGCTATGCGAGATGATGACACCCTCTCTAGCGTGGTGCAGAAATGAACCATGTATTTCCGAAGAATTTTCGGTGATTTTAGCGTAATTATACCGATTACTTTTGTTGACGCTGGTACTAATACATATCAAGCTCGGTTATTTGTTTTACCCCAAAATAAGCCTTCTGAGCGATGGTTTAGTATTGTAATAACCCCTTCATCGTGAGTGTAATCACGGCACACGAGATCTTTGAATGGGCTACAGTGCCTTAAATTGCAACGCACTTGAGAGTGATACTGCTATTGCTCCATTATTGCTTCAAACTTCTGCCAACTCTTCCATTTCCCAGTTCTCTGCTTGATTGCTTATATGAATATTTGCTAAGTATATGGTATATATTCATAATTGTTCGTTTTTAATAATAAAAAAATATCAGGCGAGTAAGCTGCTTACCTCCAGCTCACCGAAGGAAGAGAGTAGACCAGCCCCGTAGGCCTTGAGGTGTCCATCTTGCTTGCAGATGCCGAATTCTATCGTGAACCAGTAGCACTGCAATAAAACGAAAAATGAAAAGCGAATTTCAGGTTTTGCGCTGAATGGAAGCACAAACGAGCTATAATTCGGAAGAATTGTGATATACATGGGAATACAACATGACAAAAGCCCTGTGTGGGAACACCATGTTTTGAAGGGTTATGTTTTCAAGCTGCTCGCCCAGTGGCTTTAGTGGTTGTGGTGCTGAACTGGTGGCCCGCATGCCGCACTATCGAGTCCCGGTCACGGAGACCGCATTTTCTATATATGCTAAAACACCTGAGGATTGTTTACTTGGGTTAAGGTACACTTTAAATAACCCTTAAAGTGAAAATTTCCGGAGCCCCCTCCACTACGGCGTCTATAAATCATATTGTGGTTTTCGGACGTTGAATTCCATCAATCAATTATGCCATCAAACTGCCGTTTTCCTTTAGAATTATAACGGTATAGAGATGGAAAGAAATCGTTGTTATCTGCAACCACTTCAATAATTTTAAGTTTCGTTGCATTACAAAGACCTGAATTCTTGCACAAGTGACAAGGTATTCTTGATGGAGACCCTTATTTTTATTGTGGCAGTGAGAAAATCGTTGCACACGTCCTGTGTCACGCTCCTCACTACAGCTCACAAGGCAAAGAGCTGTCAGCAACCCTAGTACATTCCGAAGACCAGCCTCTTTCCGTGCAGTTAAGAGCCAGAACGTTCAAGCTTCTAAACAGAAAGCGACAAAATTGTTGTTGAAAATCGTGCGATCAATCGCCCTCGATAAACACTTATGACACGCCCGTGGTGAAGTGTGTTAATTTTTTTTTCTTAGTCGAGGGTAGGAAAAAAGAAATTTTTATTTACACACAACAATGATGAGAACGAGCAGATAACGGTGCCAAAGAAAGTATAGTGGTTGTCCTTGGTAGCAATTATCTTGGAATGTGAAGGGAAAAAAGTGGACGCAAACATTATTCTCTTTCCTTCTTCACTTATACCTTACAATACTATAACAACGATTCGTATACTTTCTTCAGCATCATTACTTGCTAGTTATCAATATTATTGACTCTCACCGACAGACATGCGTTAAGATTTCGAACTCGTTGATGGTATGTGCACCAAATGTGCGATTGTGCAGCAAGGGAGCAAAAGTTGTCCAAGCTACAATGTAGTATATATATAAGGCCGTAGAAATCGAAGTATCGTACAATGATTTCACAGGTGCTAAAGCGTTGTCAGTGAAGCTTTGCGTGGAAAAATCATCAGCATTGCAATGCTTTTACCTTAACGCATGCAAAAATTAAGCTCTGTCAGGGCGTATTGACCTCGAGATCAAATAGAGTCAGCACCTAGCAGCGAGCGGACGAAACTCCGCAGAGTGGATGGCTCCATGAGTCGCCTGCTAGCCACAATGTGTTTGCATCTGTGCGATTGTGGTACACGTTCTTGGAGTGAGGCTCATGGCTTTGTGTAAGCCCAGTATCAAAGGTTAGTATGCAAGCCTAGACGATATACATAAGCTTTTTGCCTTCCACGGCTTATCTACACTCCGATAATTGAGGGCATGCAGATGTCACTATAGCGCAAGATGTCATCATTGTACCGTTCCATTCGCCAAGAGCATTTCTATGTTGGTGCCCGCTTGTCATTCGAGCACGTCAAATTGTGCAGTCGGCGTTGTCCTAAACTAAATAAGTACACAAAATGAATGTGCACATGCAAAATTTTAGTAACTCGATGTCGTGAAGCGTCGTTCATGTCGACGCCATTGCGCTACCGGAAAGCATTAACTATCGTCTGCAAACGCTGATTATAACTGCAAAAAGGCAGAAGAAGTGGCGATGCGCATATGAGCAAGTTGAGTGCACGAAGTTCTCCTACTACTCACTTACGCAGAAGTGCAGGCTTCTTTTAGCAGGTGCTTGAACAAGGCGTAAGTCATTTGTTTAGTCGCGCGAGAACAGTGCTGCTGTAGCGTAGGCAAACACAAACTAAGTACGTACAAAGAAAGCAGAAAGAAGCATCAAGCACAGTGTGAAAACACTCAGCTGCTGCCGAAGGCCAGAACACAGTTTATTATCAGATTGCCCTGATCTCACGCGTAATAAAGATATCAAACCGGCTTCACGTAATAATCTAACAATAAAGAGCTGATAGACGACAATTAGGGTGTCATCGATGTACTCTATTTGCCGACAATCAGCTTGAAGTGCTCACAACGAAGCGCTGCTGTGTGCATTTGTATTGCTCCACGACCATCTATTCAAACTACCATTACGACTGTGGTTCCTCCTATATAGGTCGATCTCGCCACCAATGTCGCATCAACAAATCACCCACTACGCCATAATTTTTCACTGCCTCTCGAAACAACGAAGTACCGAAAACGCATCTGCAAGACAGTGTACCCACTTACGTAACTGAGCACTGTTGATGACGATAAAGATTAAGATGAAGTATATGGTTGGCTGAGTCCTTTGGTGGAGAGCTTGCTACAGGCGGAGAGCTTGCATGACCTACTGGTAGGGCATTTCACGCTGGGTGACGTCTTGCGCTGTCCTACCCTACTACCATCCAATATTAAATCTCTTAACACGGGACTCCTTTACAGGCATGGCACCTGCTCAAGGTCTTCTAATTTGGGGCACAACTTCGAAGACGTATCTTGACAGGCTGTCAGCTTCACAAAAAAGGTCTCTACGCTACATAAAAAATCTGCAACCTAGAGAACATATTCCTATTTTTCGGCAAGCTTCAGCTACACACTGTTTATGAATTATAGAATCTTAAACTCAGCTTATTCGTCATCAATCAAATAGGAGACACCGTTGGCACCTATATGGAGCACAGCTGCCCAAGCGATATTCCCTATGATCTACGCTTTGATCGTTTTCGATTCCCTTAATTCAGAACAACATATGGTAAGCAAGTTTTATCATAACAAATACCTTATCTACTCCACGAAAATAGCTATGCCCGTCAACTTTTGGCAGGACGTAACACTAAAAACAGTGTGAAAAAAATAGTGAGGATGTACTTCCTTTCTTTTAAGGAGCCATAGTTGTATTATTTACTATAAACCTTTTTGTGTTTTGTGCTTTTGCATATTTGATGAAAGTTGCTCAATTCCTTTCTTTTCAAACATATTTCTTTATGGTACTTAGCAATTCTGCCATAAATTTCTGAATGTTTCAGTTTTTTTGTATGTTCTTTTATCTCGCTACTGCTGATTACTGATGACTGTAATGCGTTATTTTAAAACGTATGTTTTGACATCTGTTAAACTTTTTCAATTCGAATTTTGTGTCACCTCATTCAAAAGAAGAATGAAATTTGTATCTTTGTTTCACTTCACCTGAGCAAATGTGTGGGTGGAGGAGCCTTATACCCCTGTCACACGGCCACCACCAAACTCCATTGAACACCGTCAACGTAAATCTCCCCTAGGGGGTTCGACGGAGGAGGAGTTGTGGCAGTGTCACACGGCAACGACAAGGTTGTAATAGTTGCCGCGAGGGGGCTCAGCTGGCGCTGTTTGATTTTCGGGAAAGTATTCTAATTTCATTCCTATTGATTTTTTGTGAATCCTCGTTATGCGGATTTTACAAAAAAGCACTATTAAGTAGGTATGCGACTAACAAACCATTAAAATAATTTCAAATAAAAACGCATTTGCTAAATGTAGCAATGCTGCTAGTGACGCTGGACACATTGTGCTTTTAGTTGTCTTGTTGCCTGTGTACATGCCTGGTACGAAAGTGCTTATGCTTCCTTGCCTCGTGAGCGCACATTTTGTGTTCTTCAGCCATGAATGACACAGCGGGCGACGTGAAGAAGTGGTACGATATTGCGCTGGTAATGACGTTGATCGGCTGGCGCCGGCCGGCCCGACTGGCGAGGCATGGTGTGTGTAGGGCATCGGTGTTGAGAGTAAGTGAACTCTGGCGGGCGTAAATATATGTAAACAAACACGTGTTGTGAATGAGTACTACAACGAAAGAACGTTTAATATTGCTAAAATGTATTATTCTTTCACTGCGGCCACTTAGTGCTCGAAAATTTTCTCTGACCTCTAGACTGCTGGGGACGAGAGTACCTCTTTTCGCTGCGAAGGGAGATCGTTGAACGTCCTTTGCGAAATGCTCCATTCACCTTCGTTTGCGTAAGGGTGGCCGTGTGACACCGACCGCTTCTTCGTTGTCGTAAGGACGAGGGAGTTAAACGGTCTTCACGGGTGCCCGTGTGACAGGGGTATTAGTCAGGCAGAGGTAATTGGCCTTTAGTCCTTTCAACCTAGGCAATCTTTGTATTTGTCTGAATAAACAGCGAATGAATATTTTTTTGCAAACAAGTTATAAGCGCCGGCGTGGCTATGTGGCAGAGCGTTTAGGTGTCACGGAGAGCACCTGGGCTATCGTCGTACACGAAGCCTTAATTTTATCTCATTGTGTGCGGGGCTACGGGTATTTCTGTCCCATACGCTGAACATTTATAATATTGTATTTGCGTTTATAATAATATTTACATGATATTTATTACACCTCAGCTAAATACTACAAATCATATTTCCTGTAGCTGTCTAGGTGTCTTTGTCTGCTGGTGTCCAAAGCCGGTGTGTTAGAAGGAAGAAAAAATCATAGCATATCTACGGAGGGAACAATGATGTGTGGGGCAAAGCGTCCGTGCGTCTGTCCGTCTCTTCTTCTTTCACTGCCGCGAATTTCTTGAATTGTCAGCTATAAGAAAACTACTAATGCCATGTAGTGATAATATTTTAAGGATGAACGGATGGATATGGCTGTACCCTTTAGAACGGGTGGTGGCTAGTGCCACCGAACCGTAATACTTAATGAACGAGAAACTATATTATTTTTTTTTCCTTTAAGTAGTGAGGTTGAGTATTCGTACTTTGCAGTGAAGGGTTCAATTTTCACTCGTGCCTTGACTTTAGCCACCAATCAGACAAGCTTCTTCTAGTTAATTCTACCCGCTTAAAGTCTATTTTGCCCCACCCCCCTGTCCC